GCTTTTACTCACCAATCCCTCCTTAGTATTTTTGCAGATGTGTCCATTGAGCCATTCAACAAATATGAAAGCATTTCCTATAGAAAAGCAAATGGGTATTATATCATCTCAGAAGTAGTTAAAAAAAAAAAAAAAAGGTGAGAAAACTAAACCAAGAAATCATAGCTGAATGGCTCTGAGATCATTTCAAATGTGAAAAACAGACTCATAATCCAAACATTTCTTATCCAAAATTCCAACCACCACTTTAATATTACCAGGTCCCTTAGTAATCTCATACAATGAAAGTGTTAAATGGTTTTTCTTATTTACAAAATAAATGGGAGACAAGGATGCATGAAGTGTTTATAGTAAGTAAAGCACAGCCCAAAATACAACTGAATTCTGATGCTGAGACACTGAATAGAGAGAAGAAATATGCTTTAACAGTGAAACCTCAGAAATAAGAATTATTGGCCAGGTGAGGTGGCTCACACCTGTAATCCTAGCACTTTTGGAGGGCGAGGTGAGTGGATCACCTGAGGTCAGGAGTTCAAGACCAGCCTGGCCAACATAGCGAAACCCCGTCTCTACTAAAAATACAAAAATTAGCCGAGTGTGGTGGCGCATGCCTGTAATCTCAGCTACTTGAGAGGCTGAGTGAGACAGGAGAATCATTTGAACCCAGGAGGCGGAGGGTGCAGTGAGCCAAGGTTGCACCACTGCACTCCAGCCTGGGCAACAGAGGGAGACTCCATCTCAAAAAAAAAATAAATAAATATATATACACACACACACACACACACACACACACACACACATATATATATAGAGAGAGAGAGAGAAATGGCCATTTTGAGAAGACATGAAGATATTTATTTTTTAATACCCAGTAATTTTATTACTTTAATTTACATGAAACATCCTGACTGGATTAGGCTAATAAAAATATTACCCCTTAAGTGACATGCTGTGGTGAATAGAGATTTAATTTATAATCAGGTTCATGGTAATCATTCCTCCTATAAATTTGTTTATAAGCATAAGAAAATTTTTCTTTCCATTGGAGGAGAAAGGGTGGAAAGCCTAGCCCCATGTCCAAATTACTAAATTTCAAACTAGTGGCATCTGTATCAATAATTCCACATTCTTCAACAAATGGTCTTACATAAAACAGTGAGAAGTTCATGTTGTTCTGGTGTGCCATCTCTGACTGCAAGACCCTCTTTTTGAACCCTGTTGTGCTGCCCCTAGTGAACTGTCCTCAGACTGGAGGAAGAAGGGGGTGGAGCAGTGAAGGAGGTCATGGAGAAGAAAGGCCAACAAAGGGAAGAGGGAGAAGTGGGAGAAAGTGGAGAAAGGGGAAGTGATGTATTTGCAGTCACAGGTCTCCAGGAAAATAATCTTAATCCAGTATTACTGTTAAGTGATAAAGAGTGACCAACCACAAAAACTATTGACCTTCTTTCTCCCAGGGTGCTATAAAGATAGGGGAATTAATGAAATCAATATTCTTTACTGCTCACCTGCCATAAACTTTAAGTGACACTGGACAAAGTTAAGTCAGTACACTTCAAGCATAGTGATTGTAAGTATGGGATCATGAGCCAGACTGCCTGGGCTAGAATCCTGACTCTGTCATGTTTTAGAGGCAAAAGTATTTCACCTTTCTGTGCCTCAGTTTCTCATCTGAAAAAGCAGAATTGTACCTACTCTCATAGGGCTGGTTGTAAGGATGTAGACAGAGTATAAACACAATATACTTAAACAGTACCTGGCACATAATAAAACCCATACTCTGTATTACCTATTATTAATAGTTAATAATTATTAATTAAACTATTAATTAGCTATTATCTGAGTTGTTTCATTCTCCAGCCTCTCAGAAAAAGGGGGAAAAAGTTGAAAGTTTTTGCATCTTACAACCCACAAATTTTGGTTATCATTTTATCCCTTCAAATATGACTTGCTAGGGGAAAGGATGTGGGTTGTGGAAGAGAGCAAGCAGAATTAGGGATTACTTCAAGGCCTGAGCCACTAAAAGGGTTTTTAGGGGCAAATCCAGAATTTTGTTTTGTGAAGTGTCATTTAAGACTTTATTTTTTAGAGACAGGGTCTTGTTATGTTGTCCAGGTTGGCCTTGAGCTCCTGGGCTCAAGTGATCCTCCCACCTCTGCCTCCTGGGTTAGCTGGGACTACAGATGTGTGCCACTGAACCCAACTTGTGCCTATTAGACTTTATGAGTGATGTAAAATAAGCAGTGGGACATAGAAGTATGGAGTTCAAGGGAGAAGTATGGGCTGAGGATGTATATTTGGAAGTCACCAGCAGATATATAGTACTAAAACCATGGAAAACACTGCCCTACTTGCTCATACCTTTAGTAATCCTTAGCTTACAGCCATTTTCCTAATAATTCAAATTTTTTTTTTTTTTTTTTTGAGACGGGGTCTTGCTCTGTCGTCCAGGCTGGAGTGCAATGGCATGATTTTGGCTCACTGCAACCTCCGCCTCCCGGGTTCAAGCGATTCTCCTGCCTCAGCCTCCCTAGTAGCTGGGATTACAGGCCACCACGCCCAGTTAATCAAATTTTAATTTAATTCAATTTAAATTCCACAGTATTTGTTGAACCTTTCCTATGTTTTAGGCATTTAATCAGATCCTTTGGATACAGACCAATTCATTTACTCATTTAACAAATGTGTACTAAGTGCACATAACTGTATAAAGCACTGAGAACCCAGTAGTGAAAAAAACTGACATAATCCCTATTTTCATGGAACCCCAAATGATGGGAGATACAGAAATTAGTGAAATAATCACACACATATAATACAGATATAAATTCTGATATGTGGTATATGAAATTATAATGAGGAAAGTTATTTACATTGGGGGAGAGGAAATCACTGGAAGGTTTTTCTGAAGGAATAATATTTAGGTTGAGGTGAATTAAAGCCATTTTGCAATGGATATAAATCCTTCAAGAAACTATTTTCAGGCCAGGCACAGTGACTCACACCTGTAATCCCAGGACTTTGGAGGCTGAGGCGGACGGATCACCTGAGGTCAGGCGTTCGAGACCAGCCTGGTCAGCATAGTGAAACCCGGTCTCTACTGAAAATACAAAAAGATTAGCCAGGTATGTGGCAGGCGCCTGTAATCCCAGCTACTCAGGAGGCTGAAGCAGGAGAATCACTTGAACCCGGGAGGTGGAGGTTGCAGTGAGCCAAGATCACGCCACTGCACTCCATCCTGGGCAACAGAAAAAAAAACTATTTTCAGCCTGCACTATTGTGAAAAAATAGTGAGTTCCCTTTTGCTAATTTGGGTATGAGTAGGGTATCTGATGGATATAGTAAATGTTTTTAAAAATTAATAATATAACTTTGGGAGGCCGAGACGGGCGGATCACGAGGTCAGGAGATCGAGACCATCCTGGCTAACACGGTGAAACCCCGTCTCGACTAAAAATACAAAAAAACTAGCCGGGCGAGGTGGCGGGCGCCTGTAGTCCCAGCTACTCGGGAGGCTGAGGCCGGAGAATGGCTTGAACCCGGGAGGTGGAGGTTGCAGTGAGCTGAGATCCCGCCACTGCACTCCAACCTGGGCGGCAGAACGAGACTCCGCCTCAAAAAAAAAAAAAAAAAAAAAATTAATAATATAAACAATGAGATACCACTGCCCACCTATCAGAAGGGCCAAAATCCAAACTGATGACAGCACCAAAAGCTGGAGAAGATGTGGAGCAACAATAGCTCTCATTCATTGCTGCTGGGAATGCAAAATGGTACAGCCACTTCACAAGACAGTTTGGCAGTTTCTTACAAAACTAAACATACTCTTATCGTACCATCTAGCAATTGTGCTCCTTGGTATTATATTTACCTAAATGAGTTGAAAATGTCTATACAAAAACCTACACACAAATATTTATAGCAGTTTGATTCATAATTGTCAAAACTTGGAAGCAACTAAGATGTCCTTCAGTGGGTGAATGAATAAACTGGTACATCCAGACAGCGGAATATTATTCAGTACTAAAAAGAAATGACCTATCAAGCCATGAAAAGACATGGAGGAACCTTATATGCATATAAGTAAGTTTAAAAAGCCAGTCTGAAAAGTATGATTCCAACTATACGACATTCTGGAAAATGCAAAAACATGGAGACAGTAAAAAGCCTCAGTGGTTGCCAGAGGTTAGGGGAGAGGAAGGAATGAATAAGAGGAACATAGAGGATTTTTAGGGCAGTGAAACCATTCTATATGATTCTATAATGATAGATATATATTATACATTTGTCAAAATGTATAATGCCTTATCCTCATGGTAACATCGACTCTTCCTCTGTCTCAGCTCAAGTGTCATTTCTGCTATGAAGCCTTTGGCAAATCCTCTAGGTAAGGCTGTTCCTCCTCTGTGCTCCCACACAGCATTTTGTTTATCTCTTACATAGTATTTAGGTCCTACTGTAATTATTTACTTACAAATCTGTTCTTCCTCTATAATATGAGCTTGAAAACAGACACTATGTCTTAGTCATTTTATAGTTCCAGAATCTAGACATAATAGATACATAATAAATGTTGAACAACTTAATGAATGGATAAAGATGAAGAACTATTAATTCCACAAATATCTGAGTGCCTACAATGAGCCGGGCTCTGTTCCAGTACAAAAAAGTAGCCAGAACTTTACACCTGTAAAATGATTAGAACCCTGGGAGCAGGCTTCTATTTTAAGCCTTTTTTTTAGCTTTTTACCTGTAGAAACTTCCAAATGAGCCACTTGCTTGTTTATTCATATTTAAGAAAGAACCACCTGCCCAACGTTTAGCAGTGGCATTATGCCCATGAATGGCAGTGGGAAAACACAATGCACTCATTCTCATCTCATAAAAGTGCACTTTAAGAGTCCAGTCTCAATTTCATAGACATCTTCTTTTTATTACTCTCTGGAGAATGTAATTTCAAGAGTTGGCAAAAGAGAAAATAGTAAATGAAGACAAAGACAAAGTGATTCTGCCAATAAATACTTTAATGAGAACCGAGGTCTGTAACACATATAGCAATAACCACCCTGGCCTATGCCTTCTGCTCTAGCCCAAGTCTGGGGCTAACCAATTACATTTAACCACATTTGGAAAGCAGGCCGTTTTCAATGTCACCCATCAGTATCCATCTTCATAGAAGATACCAATCTGGGGCCAGAGTCTCAATGTTAACACTTTCTCTCGGGGAAAAGTTAACATGGTAACACAAACATAGAAATAACTTTGAATCACCCCACTGTTCTTCCATCAGGAGGCTCTTAGGAGACCAACGGCTTGGTAAACACTTACGACATTGTCAAAATACATCAGAACATGGGAAAAGGGCAAAGGAGTAGAAAGGCTGGCAGGGCTGGGCTCACATATAATTCAGTTCTTAGATTTGAAGCCTCTTTAGCTGCTCGTATGTAATAAAAAACTGGAGTAAGTCAAGGAAGATCACCAGGTTGATACTGAAAGCCAAAGCTAGTTCTAAAATTAGCATTGCATTCTCTTAAATTAGTCTATGCTATTCTAAGCTTCATTTGCTTTAAAATCTTTTTTAAAACACCACCTGTCAAATCAAGCATGTGTTGCGTGCCTACCATGTGCCCGTTTAGATCACTAGCATCGAACAACATAAACAGAGTAAAACTCTTAATATATTTGTAGTCTTCAGGGGGAAACAGGACACACACACACACACACACACAGTAACCAAGAACATCAATGATAACATATAAGATCAGAGTGATTCCAAGAGGGAACGAGATACCCTCTCTCTGTCTACAGACCCCACAAGGGCAGGGAATTACTATCCAACGCTGTGGTGCTTGCCATTATACACACAACACCACACACAGTATCCAATACATGGCTCTGCACTTAGGAGGCACTCTAAACACAACTGAAGGAGACAGATTCACCCATGAAGAAAGAAGCCTACTTGGCTGTGGATTCCGTCACCCCATGAATGTCTTCTGTCCTGTTTTTATTTCCCAGCTATTTTGGTCCTACAGTTAGGGGTAGGAAATCTGAACCACCTCAGCATGGACTTTCCTGTAGGCTTCTTCCATCAGGGTTTCTAAAAACTTCATAGCCCCTTCCAGATTAGCTGTGTTTGTTGTCATTTTGTTTTAAAGAGTAAAGTTTGACATATCTTTTCCATCCCCTTTAGTTTGTATTAGCCTCCAATTGAAAGCTGTTTCTCTACTTAATTCCATTCTCAAGGGTCACCAATGGGATGCTTGAGTTTCTCACTAGCCTAAAAGGCTTTAATATTCAAATTTTCCTTCCCATAGCCTAGAATTATCTGGGAGCTTGAAGCACTTGCTTTCATCCTCTCAAAGGATACAATGATGTTCCAGGGTCCAAGCCGAAGCCAGTTTGGCCAAAATCCTTTATAGAGTGCAAAAAAGCCCTCATGTTTCCACATCTGCAGGAAAGATATAACCAAAAACAGAGTGAATTCACCTTTCTCTACATTTGACATCACCTTCCACTCCCACCTCAGAGCAACTTATGGCTCCATGAATAGTCTTTTCTCTGAAGGTCCATTTTAAATTCATCTGTAGTCTAAATCCATCCACCCACTTAATCAATAAATATTTACCTACCATACATATGCAAAGCACCATTCTTGATGTTGGGAATATACTAATAAACAAGACAGAAGAAGTGTCTATGGTAGCCAGCCTCCAAGATGGCCCCCAATGAACCCTACCTCCAGTTATTTGTACCCTTGTGTAGCCTCCACCTCATAGTATTTGGTCTGTGTCACCAACAGAATACAGTAGTAGTGAACATATGTCACTTCTATTGCTAGGTTATAAAATATATATTATATATAATAAAGCATCTGTCTTATTCTCTCTTGGATTCATTCACTCTAGAGGAAACCATCTGCTATATGATGAAGAGAGGACTACATGGTGAGGAACTGAGGGCTCCAGCCAACAGCTGCACAAGTGATCATTGAAGCAGCTATCCCAGCCTGTCAAGCCTTTAGATGGCAGCAACCCTAGTTGACATATGAACTACAACCTCAGGAGACAGCCTAAGCTAGAATCAGCTAAGCTGCGTTGCAATCCCTGGCCCATAGAAACTGCAAAGTAACAAATGTTTAAGGCAGTGAGTTTTGGAGTAATGTGTTACACAGCAATAGGTAACCTACACAGCAGTCTCTACCCTCATGGAGTGTATATTCTAGTGGGGCTGACAAATACACAAATTGATATATATTATATCCAAAAATAAGTGCTACAAAGAAAACTAAAGCAGGGTAAGAAAATAGAAAGTTGGGCAAGTTATTATTCTTCTCTGAGTCTGTTTCATCATTATTAATTCTATATAATGCCATGGCCTACCTCATGTGAATGCTTTGAGGATTACATGAAGAAAAATGTGAAGTGTTTTGAGTTTTGGTTTCCTACTTTATACAACGGGGATCTTATATACATGGTTATGAGAATTAAATGATAAATTATGCATAAACATTATAAACTGGTGGCATGTGCTGAATTTAGCCAGCAGAAATGGTTCATATATAATGGACAAATATCTATTAAGTAACTACAGTGTGTTAGGCATTGTGTTAGACATTGAAAAATGTTATTTTGCCTTTCCAATAGTGAAGTGAAACCCACCACAATTCTAAAAAAAGGAAATATTTGTATAAGACAATAATATGAGAAGTCAGAGTTGTAAATATCCTTTATCCCATCCTGTTCATTAAGTATACTAGAGATAATTATCCTTACTAACCACTTTTGGGAGCAAACAGTAAAATAATAAGCACAATATTTATGAAGATATAGTGGTAATATGTTTCCCCCAGTGGATCTTCAGCAAATAGTAAAGGTCTGAGACCAAAACTGATGTTGGAAAATTGTGAAAATCACCCCAAATAAAGCTTAGATGTGAATAACCTAGAACCTAGACTGTTAAATGACAAGAGACCTCTGAGAGACCATCCAATCTCATAATCTCTTACCTGGACTACCATAATAGACTTTTAATTGGTCTAAAATCTCTACCTAGAAGCTAGAACAATCTTTTAAAATTATAAATCAGAGTATATCACTTCCTGCTTAAAGCTCTCAAATGGCTTCCTGGTGGATTTCATTCTAATTGCAAATTCTCTGCAAAGACCTGTAGGATCCTATATGATTTAGCTGCTGCCTTTCTCTCCAGTTTCATTTCGTACTAGTTTCTCTCTTTATTCACCACATATTCAGCCACACTAGCTTTCTTTCTAACCCTTGAACATGTCCAGCTTATTTCCAACTCAGACCTTTAGTAACCTGTTCCCTCTTTATGAAATGCTTTTCTCCCAGCTCTCATGGCCAATTCATCATCATTCAGATCTCAGCTCAAATGTCACCTCCTCAGAGGTTTTTCTTGACCATCCTTGCTGAAGTAGTTCCCCACTACTGAGTCACTACTGCAATATGCTGTTGTTTTCTGCATAGCATCTATTTCTATCTAAAATTATACTGTGCATTGTGTGTTTATTGTGTCTCCCTCAACTAGAATGTAATCTCCAAGAGATCAGAAACTAGCTTTGTTTGTTCACCATTGTGTCACCACCACCTAACACAGTGTCTGGCACAAGAAATTTTCCCGTAAGTATTTGTTGAAGAGGTGAACACAAAAACAGTAAGGGTCTCTAATACTCTTATGAGCCATCTGGATCTTTTTTTTTTTTTTAATTAAGAAACATGGTCTTGCTCTGTCGCCTAGACTGGAGTGCAGTGGCAAGCCTACGTAGCTCACTGCAGCCTCAAACTCTGACTCAAGCAATCCTCCCGAGTAGCTAAGACTACAGGATGCAAGCCACAGCGCCCAGCTTGAATCTTTATAAATTTCCAAAAACAGTGACCAATTTCTTCACAACATGAGAACTGGGAGGCACCTTTTGGCATAAGGCAGTTGTGTGAAAACAAAGAACTTCTATAGACAAGCATAGACAAAATAATAAAGTATGATGCTATTACACATAATAGCAAAATAGAACAAAGTCATTTTTAAAAATGACTGCTATTAAAAATTTTTAGTAGCACATAAGTAAATGACTGAGCAAATGTAAGTACTTAAAGGTTACTACCAACATAAAAACATGTTTCTGCAGATTCAAAACAGCATAGTGGTTGTAAGTAGAAACTTTGGAATGAGACAGATTGTGGATTAAGTCTCAGATCTGCCTCTTATTAGCTATGTAATCTTGTGTAAGTTATTATTTAGCTACTCTGAACCTAAGTTTCCTCCTTTATAAAATAGGAAAGATAATATTTACTCCACAGTGTTGCTGTGAGAGTTAAAGGATATACTCCATGTACAGTGCCTGGGACAGAATAAGCATTCAATAAATATTAGCTATTACTATATTATTGTATAGTAAATCTTTTAGCCAATCTTCTTGAAACAGTGCTCTTACACCTGTCTATCTATTATTACTTCCTGTGTTTATCTCCTTCTATTAGAATCCAAGTGTCATAAAGACAGGGACATTATGGTTTATTTACCAATACATCCTCAACAACCTAGAACAGTGCTTAGCACATAAGACAAACATTTCTTTCATTTTTTGGTGGCGGCGGGAGTGCTCTTCAAGCGTCAGCTTGATTTTTTTCTTTTTTATTACTTGAATGAATAATCAAACACACTCCTCAATGCACAGCAACTGGCTTTTGCAAACACCAATTCACCAAACCTTCTAAAAAATATTAAATCCAACAGACGCTTTGCAGTCCTTATCATATTAGATCTCTATTGTATGTGACATTAAGTAACCACTCATTCCTTCTTGAAACTCCTCCTTTGGCTCCCATGACACTACTCTCTAAGTTTCCTCATCTTTGGTGTCTTTCCTAGGTTCCTCATCTGCCAAGATCTTAAAAATTGGTATTCCGGGCAGGGCACGGTGGCTTACACCTGTAATCCCAACACTTTGGGAGGCCAAGGCAGGCGGATCATGAGGTTAGGAGCTCGAGACCAGCCTGACCAACATGGTGCAACCCTGTCTCTACTAAAAATATAAAAATAAGCCAGGTGTGGTGGCGGGTGCCTGTAATCCCAGCTCCTCAGGAGGCTGAGGCAGGAGAATTGCTTGAACCCAGGAGGCAGAGGTTGCAGTGAGACGAGATCGCACCACTGTACTCCAGTCTGGGCATAAATAAATAAATAAATAAATAAATAAATAAATAAATAAATATTGGTATTCCGCAGTGTTCTTTCCTTGGCCAAGTGCTCTTCCCTCTACACCAGTGATTGTCAAATGCAGAAATACCAACGGGGGCTTTTGCCAAACTATACTTTCCAGGGTCTGAGAATTGCTGCCTCAGTCAATCATTATTACAGGAAAGAACTTTATAGTACTCCAGTATGCTGGGAAGGCAAAAAGGTTGTGAACTCTTCTACCTGCTCTCCTTGGTCAACTCTCTCCATAGTTATATACCACCTGTGTGCTAATGACTCCATGGGCTTTTATCTATATCCACGAACCCTGTCTTGAGTCAGGGCTAGAATATCCAAATGTATCCACTGGATTTTCCTCATGCATATCAAACTGAGTATCCAAAACTATGATGTCTCCCCCAAGACCTGCTCCTCTTGTGATGCCTCTGTCAATGAATGTCACCACCTGGTCACCAACTCCAAAAACCCAGAATTTATCTTTAACACCTCCTTTCTCCCACACCTCTCCACATCTAGTCAACCAAATCCTGTTGACTCTATCAACTAATTCTTTCTTGACTCTGTCCCACCTTCTATATCTCCATTATCATGCTCAAGTTCAGGCCTTCATCCCCTCTTTCTCAGATTAAAAGAGCCTTCTATTCAGCTTCCCTATCTGTAGGTCAGTGGTTCTCAAAGTGTGGTCTCCAGACTAGCAGCATCAGTATTGCATGGGAATTTGTTAAAAATGCAAATTTCCAGGTCCCACTCCATACTTACTAAATCAGAATCTGGAGATGGGTCCAAGTGAACGGCAGTTTAACAAGCCCTCCAGGTGATTCTGATGCATGTTAAACTTTTAAGAATCACTGCTCCAGGCTGATCCCCTTAGTAGTCTTCAACCTTGGGTGAACATTGCAGTCACCTGATATAGTTTAAAATATTGACACCTGGACCTTACTCCGCAGGTTTTGAGTTAATTGGTCTAAGGTAGAGGAGGGAGCTGAGAAAGTTCCCCCAAGTGATTCCAATGTGTACCCAAGATGAGGAACCACTGTGGTAGATCTAGTCTCCACAAAGCCAAAGTGATCTATTTAATGCAAAGCTAATCTGATTAAAAACTTTCAACAGCTCCCTGACAAGTTAAAAAAAATTTCAAGCACCTCAATATAGCATTCAGTATCCTTTATAATCTAACCCTTGGCCACCAATATGAGGAAAGCACCATAATGGAGAGGTAAATGTCAGTTTGCGGTCAAATGATCCGAGTTTAAATTCCAGTTCTACTTAGTGGCTGTGAAACCTTACTTAATTTTTCAGTGCTTCAGTGTCTACCTCGTGGGGTAATGGTGAGGATTCAATGAACGAATACATGTAAGTCTCATAAGGACAGTTCCTGACACACAAAAAAGCACTAAGTGGATGTGAGTTATTGTTATTCAAGATGCCACCATCTACAGGGAGCCTATCTCAATGCTTCCAAATTGAGAACTCTGAGTTTATCACTTATTAGGCTATACTGATTATCTGTTTGTATACCTACAGTACTTTTGTAATATCTGTAATTTCTCTCTAACTACTAAAATGGTGTCTAATATGTAATATTGTTAAACAAAACTGATAATAGGAGAGAAACCATATGGCAACATCATATTTTAGCCTCAATTTGTTTTCAGTAGCAATAATATCACCAGTAATTACGTAATACTTTTAGAATATTCAGTTTCCACAAACACAACAGCAGGAACTTTCAAAGCCAGAGTGAACAACAGCATAACCCTGAACTGAAATAAAGTACAGGCTTTTTTCCTTAAGTACTGAGTTATCTATTGCAGGGTCTCTGTGTTGTATGAAGTAGGCAAATGGGGGATATACTGTCTTTTCTATCACTAATTCTACATGATACTATTAATAAAAGTATCCTGTATTTTAAAGCATTCAAATGGGAATCATTATATTAAATACCACTGCAAATTAGCAGATTGCTAAGGAGACAGCTTTTCTACCTGGGAATAACTGAGAAGCTACTAAAAAATATGATTCTTTCATCTTCAAAATGGTATGTAGCAACTAATAATAAGAACTGAAGGAAGGTCTAAGACATCAAAGAAAACCAAATTGTAACCCAAATCCACAATGTACTTACCTTTAAAATACCATCAACGGTGCCCTTATAGAGATCCACATGTCCCACGATTGCCCTCTGGTTCATCATGCGAGTTCGCACCACATCAACCGGGTTGGAGGCCAGAGCCCCAGCCAAACCACATGTAAAGCTGGAACTGAAAGGAAAAGTTTAAGTAGATTGACCCCACTTCCACTCCCTGCCCACTTAAACAGAAATTAGGCTAAATGTAAACTGTACAATATAAGTCAGACCCATCAGATAAAACCTGGCACTTGGCCTTTCATTACAATCTAAAGAGACAGGAAATTTTTCTAAAGAGACATCATTCAAAGGCTTCAGTTTTCAATCTGAAACTCAGCCTCTTTTTAAAAGGAGAGTTTCTAAACCTAATAAGATTCCTATGTAGAAAGCATCATGTACCACCTATTAGTTACATAAATTTTTCAAACCACAGCATCATATGCCAAATGCATCTGAGTAACAAAATTATCATAAAGGTTGCAAGACAAAGAAAACGTAAAGTGAGATTAGCAACAGTCTTTAGCCAAAAAACTGTGCTTTAGTTTCACAGACCTTATTTACCCCTTTTTTTCTGATTCCCATTGAGAAAAGTTTGCTTTCTCAAACAAAATTAACCAAAGCAAATAATAGATGTGCTTATTAGATATAGAGGCTGTGTATGGACAAATGTAAATCAGACAGACCTCTGATAGGCTGCTGTATTAGAAAATATTCCCAAGTACCCAAGCCCCCACAGCACCTGGGATTTCTGTGAAGTATAAAGTGTTCACAAGGCTTGAAGTTCTGATAATAGAAGAGACAAGGGTATTTAGGCCATACGTACCAGTTATCAAATTCCACCTGAGGATTTCAGTAAAAGAGACTTTTTGTACTCAAAATGCTGGAAATAAAATGAGCACATCCCATCCTACTTACACAAAGTGAGTTAAAATTGTATCACCCATCATTCCTGACAATATTAAGTGCTTCTTAGTAATATCATAGACTGGTAGCTCTACTCCCACAACGATGGCAGCACGCTGAGCAGTTGGAACCACACCCTACAAAACACAAGTGACATTAGGCACCAAGGAAATATAAAGGGAATGATGTCTTAGAGTGAACAAAATAGGTCAGGAGTTGAAAAGTAACAGTAAAATACAAGTCTGAAGTACACAGGTCACTCTTTCAAATCAATGACTAATAAGGGAACATTTACAAATTTCCAATTCACTTGCTATACTAAAAATAAAATAATTGATATGACACCCAAAGCACAAAAGACAAAAGAAAGAAAAAGATCAACTGGACTTCATCACAATTAAAAACTTTTGTGACTCAAAAGACACCACCAAGAAAGTGAAGAGCCAACACACACAAGGAAAAAAACATTTGCCACTCATATATCTGATAAGGGACTGGTGTCAAGAATATATAAAGAACTCTTACAACAAAAAAGGCAAACGATCCAATTTTAAAACGGCCAAAAGACCTGAAGATATTTCCTTCAAAAAAGATACACAAATGGCCAATAAGCAGATGAAAAGATGCTAAACATCATTAGTCACTAGGGAAATGCAAATCAAAACCACAAGGACATTCCACTTCATACCTACTAGGAGGACTATAATGATTTTTCTTTTAAGTAAAAGAAGGCTAGGTGCAGTGGCTTATGCCTGTAATCCCAGCACTTTGGGAGACTGAGGCAGGAGGATCACTTGAGCAGGAATTCTAGACAAACCTGGGCAATACAGTAAGACTCTATCTCTTAAAAAGATTTTAAAATTAGCCAGGCATGGTGGCATGTGCCTGTAGTCACAGCTACTTGAGATGCTGAGGTGGGAGGATCACCTGAGCCTGGGAGGCTGAGGCTGCAGTGAGCCCGCACCACTGCATTCCAGCTTGGGCAACACAGCAAGATCCTGCCTCGAAAAAAAAAAATTAATTAATAAATAAATAAGTAAAAGAGCAAGCGTTGGTGAGGAAGTGAAGAAATAGGAACCCTTACATGCTATGGGGCAGCCACTGTAGAAAACAATTTGGCATTTCCTCAAAAAGCTAAACACAGATTACCATATGAGCAAGCGATTTTACACCTAGGTATATACCCAAGAGAACTGAAAATATATGTTCATACAAAAATGTGTACAGAAATGTTCATAGCAGTATTTATAATAGCTAAAATGTGCGAAGAACCCAAATGCTCATTAATTGATGAAGGGACAAATACAATATGGCATATCCACACAATGGAATTAATATTCAGCCATAAAAAAGAATAAAGTACTGATACATGCTGCAACATGGATAAACCTTAAAATCAGTATGCTAAGTGGAAGAAGCCAGTCACAAAAGTCTACATATTGCCTGATTCCATTTACATGAAATACCTAGAACAGGCAAATCTATAGAGACAGAAAGTAGAGTAGTGGTTCTCTGCAGCTAGGAGGGCTGGGAGAAATGAGAAGTGATGGGTAAAGGGTAAGGGTTTCTTTTTGGTAATGAAAATTTTTTTTTTTTCTTTCTTCTTTTTTTTTTGAGACGGAGTCTTGCTCAGTCCCCAGGCTGGAGTGCAGTGGCACGATCTCGGCTCACTGCAAGCTCCGCCTCCCGGGTTCACGCCATTCTCCTGCCTCAGCCTCCCAAGTAGCTGGGACTACAGGCGCCCGCCACTACGCCCGGCTAGTTTTTTTTTTTTTTAGTAGAGACGGGGTTTCACCTTGTTAGCCAGGATGGTCTTGATCTCCTGACCTCGTGATCCGCCCATCTCGGCCTCCCAATGAAAATGTTCTAAACTTAGACAGTGGTAATGGCTGCACAAATCTGTGAATACACTAAAAACAATTAAATCGCATACTTTTATGTGAATTATCCCAATAAAGAATTTGGGAATTATCATTATAATATGTGAATTTTCCCAATAAAGCTGTTATAAATAAAATCATGAAGCAAAAATCAGTGGGGGGAAGACAGCTTTCAAGTTTAACTCACAGAATTTTCAGATGTGCAGAAAGGACAAACACTAGGGTGACAGCAAAGGTATGAAGAAGCAAGAGAAAAAGTCAAGGGAAAGTGGTCCTTTGCTAACAACTCCTGCTGTGGTAACATTACCAGGGTTTCACTCGCTAGCATGATGTTCCTATCACAGCTCCCATTACAACACAGGGTTGCTAGTACATTAAAAGACACATTTATTAACGACATAAGAAAATGCTTATGATAGCATGTTAAATAAAGCAAGGCATAAAATTATATATAGTATTATTCTATCTTCAGGGGAAAAGGTATACACGGACATGCCAAATTCTTAGAAAGGATTAGAACGAAATACATCAAAATATTTTTTTTCCTCTGGTGTTAGGATAAGAGATGTTAATTTTCATTTTTATGCCTATCTATTTCTTTTCACATTTTCACAATGAATGTTTTACTTTTATAATTGTGTTTAGGTGTCATTTAAAGTTGAAAATAACATACCATGTGGACATCTGCTTTCTGGGATAATTACTATATTAAAAAGTTTTCAGTTATCTCTAAGTTCCCAAACTCAATTTATAAAGTGGGGCTGCTCTGCCTATGGAGTAGCCATTCTTTATTCCTTTACTTAATAAACTTGCTTTCACTTTAAAAACTAATAATAATAATCCCAGCTACTCGGGAGACTGAGGCAGGAGAATCGCTCAAACCCAGGAGGTGGAGGTTGCAGTGAGCTGAGATCGTGCCACTGCACTCCAGCCTGGCAACATAGCGAGACTCCGTCTCAATAAATAAATAAATAAATAAATAAATAAATAAATAAATAAAATGAAGTGGAAGTGACACAGCTGTGCCAAGATGCTTGATTGTGCTGATATGGCTGGCTAGCCGAAGGGTGCCTTCCTTGCTGGCTCTTTGACCTGCTTCTCATAAAGAGGGCACCCTTCACAGAAGACTGCTTTGGTGAACAAAGGCCCCAAACTGGAGCCCACAGTCCAAAATCAGGCTATAGACATGTTTTGAGTGGCCCACAGTGTTTCCAAAAGACTGAATTGGCTGTTAATATGTAAAAATCAGGATATTTCACACAGAAATGCAGATTTCCAGCATCTCTTGAAAGGCCAGAAAATTTGACCACACTGGGCTCACTGTCAACGCATGGCAGCAATGGGCTGGAGCTAAGGAGTAGCTGTCCTCTCTCAATGGGGACTGTGCTTTCCAGGACCACGGTCCCCACCACGCTACTCTCTCTCCAAATCTGTGGTAAGTGCTAGTTATACTTTGTTATTGTACTCGTGCTATTTTTTCTTACAATGAAGTTAGGAAGAAAGTGAAATGTTTTCATTATTCATGTTACAATCAGAGCGAGAAGATAAAACAAACAAAGATGAGCATGTTTGAAGAAAAATGCAAACATATTTTCTTGTTGAAATGAAAACTAAGTCCTGTATTTTTAACATGCAAATAAAACATGTCTGTCTCAGAAGAATACATTCAACAATGTACTTTGCTTCTTTATGTTAGGTGCCTAGATCATGTAAGTAGCCTGGATCATAAAAACAGTTATGTTCAGTTTCTCGAAATATAAACATAGATTTACCACATAATCCAGCAATTCCACTTTTGGCTATATAACCAAAAGAATTGAAAGCGGAGTCTAAAAAATATATTTGCACACCCATTTACCCAGCAGCATTATTCACAATAGGCAAAAGGCAGAAGCCATTCAAATGTCCATCAATGGTTGAATGGATAAACAAAATGTGGTATACACATACAATGGAATATTATTCAGCCTTAAAAAGGAAGAAATTCTGACACATGCTACTGCATGGATGAACCTTGAGAATATTATGCTAAATAAAATCAGCCAGTCACAAAAAGATAAATATTGTATGATTCCACTTACATGAAGTACCTATAATAATCAAATTGATAGAGACAGAAAATAGAATGGGGTTGGCAGGGGCTAGGGGAAGGAGAAATGGGGAACTGCTTCATGGGTATAGAGTTTCAGTTTTACAAGACCTAAAGAGTTCTGGAGATCAGTTGTACAACAATGTGAATGTACTTAACACTACTGAACCATCGAAAATGGTTAAGATGGCAAATTTTATGTTATGCCTACTTTTTACTACAATAAAATATAAAGTAGCTATGCTCCTGTGAAAAAATCTCCAATTCTATTTATTCCTCTGTTTTTGTTCCTTATCATCAGTTTATGAGAAAGTTCTAGTTAGTTCTATTTTCTGGCTTTAAATTAGATATATCAAGAAAGTGTACCCTGCTATTACCAAAAAGCAAACCTCAAGGACCATTAATGGATGCAAAGACCATTAGTTAGATGAAAGGTGATTAGATATTAGGATATATGCACGTTACTAGAATATTATCACCTCACAGATTACTTGCTAATTGCAAAGGAGGGAAAAAAAAAAAAACTTATGTTTTACAATGGCGAGATCTGGTGGACGTTATCTTACCAAATAATCAAACTTGGTACCACTAATCATGGGACAAACTAATATTATGTGCCTCTTGCTGTGATGCAGTATGAAATACACAGCATCACCTATGAAGCACCCTTATCAAAAACGTTTAACATGAATCTAATCAAGCCAATATACCCTACTTACAGTTTATAGGAAACACAAAAGACAGAGAAACAACTTAAACACAATCAGGAAACATTTTATAAGAAAACTAGCCTGGCCAGGCATGGTGGCTCACATCTGTAAGGCCAAGGCCAGAGGATCACTTGAAGCCAGGAGATCAAGACCAGCCCAGGCAACAAAGCGAGACTGTCACATAAAAAAAAAAAGAAGGAGGAAGGAAGAAAATAAATTATAAATTAGCCTGGTCTCATTAACAGGAAATTCTAATATGGGCTAGATATTAGGTATTAGGGACTTGTTAATTTTCTTAGATATGATAATGGTATTATTATGTAGAAGAATATCCTTATTCTTAGGAGATGCATAATTAAGTATTTAATTGAGTGCCATGATGTCTGCAACCTACTTTCATTTAGCTTAGCTGAAAAGAGAGAGTGTTTGTGTGTATACACATAAACAGATAAAGCAAATACGACCAAACTTTAACAGTCATCGAATCCAGCTCAAAGGTATGTATTTTCATAGTTGTATTCTTTCTTTTTTTTTTTTTTGAGACGGAGTCTCGTTCTGTCGCCCAGGCTGGGAGTGCAGTGGCCGGATCTCCAGCCTCAACTGCAAGCTCCGCCTCCCGGGTTCACGCCATTCTCCTGCCTCAGCCCTCGCAGAGTAGCTGGGACCACAGGCGCCCGCCACCTCGCCTGGCTAGTTTTTTGTATTTTTTTTAGTAGAGACCGGGTTCACCGTGTTAGCCAGGATGGTCTCGATCCCCTGACCTCGCGATCCAACCCGGCCTGGCTCCAAAGTGCTGGGATTACAGGCTTGAGCCACCGCGCCCGGCAGTTCTATTCTTTCAATTTTTCCTTATGCTTGAAATTTTTGTTATGAAAAATTATAAAGGAAGAAAAATAGCAAAGCTCTCATTTTTATTTAAAAGTCTATTAAAGATTTCCCATTCCACTCTCTCTGTATATTCTACTAATAATCTTATTAATATTACAACACTTAGGGATTAAAAAGTTTGAGCAACAGTGATGCAAAGCAAAGTATAGATAGAAGACTGAAAGATAATATGACAAAAAGTTTAACAGAAATTATCTCTAGGCAGTGGGACTACTGGATTTTTTTCTTTTTACTTTTCTATATTTTCTCAATATTTTACAGTACATGTTATACTTTTTAGGTTAAAAAATTGTTTAAGGTAACAGCTCTTTTTTTTTTTTTTTTTTTGAGACAGAGTCTCGCCCTGTCACCCAGGCTGGAGTGCAGTGGCATGATCTTGGCTCACTACAACCTCCTCCACCTCCAGGGCTCAAGCAATTCTCCTGCCTCAGCCTCCTGAGTACCTGGTACTACAGCCGTACACTGCCATGTCTGGCTAATTTTTGTATTTTTAGTTGAGATGGGCTTTCACCATGTTGGCCAGGCTGGTCTCGAACTCCTGACCTCAAGTGATCCACCCGCTTTGGCCTCCCAAAGTGCTGGGATTACAGGCATGAGCCACAGCACACGGCCAGTAACAGCTTTTGAACACAAACACTACAAAGACATACGTCATCGTGTTAGTACAAAACTGGCAAAAAAAATACACTGAACAACTACATTCACTGTGAATATGATCGAAATGACCATCTCAAATAATGTAATAACTTTCCCCACCTATATAATCCCTAAACATTATGCAGAAATAAAAGGCCAATGATAAGTTTTGGGCCTTTCAAAGGAGATGAGGAGTTTCTTACCTTAGTTTCTGGATTATAATTCACGATTTTATGTCTTTATATTAAAAAAGTATTCTTTGCAAATTATAGGAACTGAGAGTGTAGAATAATAGCAGGAAAAGAGTACTTACCCTCCACAGACCCCTGGTGCCTTCTTGTTGGTATATATCGATAAAGCTTCCAATCATGCTCCCTTGGAACAAGCTTCCTTGAGCCTGCATTCGAATCTAAAATGAAAAGAGGTGAACATTTTATTTTGTCAGAGAGAACCAAAATGCTAAATTCATTTTAAATTCATTTTAATTCATTTTAATTTATCTAAAATGTAAAAAGCAGTATTCGGGAATCCCAGAAAAATATCTGCTATTATGATAAAGTTAATTAGTTAAACTGTATAGAAAAAGAATTTGTGTCAAAGTGTATTTTATAAAGATGATTTTCATCAGCCTCACATTCCTCACACTAAGTCTATTATTTCTGGAGCTAGAAGAAAATCTGGGGAAAAGAAAGAACAAGTGCTCAGCAGGACTAAAAAATGACTCATTTAGTGAAAAATTAGAAACAACTTAATATCCAAAAACAACAACTACACAGATTGGTTACAGAAATTATACATTCATTTAATAGAATACTATGGAGCCATAAAATTTTGTTGTATGATGGTATTTGCTGACACTGAAAGATATCAAAAATTGCTAACCAGAAAAAAAAATATTGCAAAGTACTATATCATTTTTATTAAAAACATGTAAACTTAAAAATATCCATAAGCACAGCAAAGAGACGAGGTGAACATATAAAACTAAATACTTACAGTGGTTTATGTCTGAGTGGTGAGGCTACAAGTAAGCATTTTTCTCTTTTGTGTTTTTTCTGCCTTCCACATTTTTCTACATTAAACATGCATTGCTTATGTAATTATAAAAAGGAAAAATGTGTTTTAAAATATAATTTTATGTTTATGAGACCTTAAGTTGAGTTCTATTTATAAAAAGCATGATATTATATTCTGCCAAGTGGCCTTTCAGAGCTGCAAGAAAGGAAAGATAGCATTAAATGGCCGTGTAAAAGGTTTGGTACAATTCCCCACAGACTCTGCACACATACAATCCTAGTAGTCAGTCACTAAATACTAGTGGCCCAAATGTAGGCCTGATTTTTATGCTACCATTCTAGGTTTCAACAAATGTATTTAGTAAGTCATGTAATGGCAACATGCTTTTATGCAGAAAGTTAACTGTTACTACTAAGAGTTTTAAAATATTATAATTATAAAAACCTAAACCCATTATATCAAGATACAAACTGTCGCAAAGACAAATCAAAACTACTAATACACTGTGGTAAGTAGAACACTTCTTTAAGGAGGTGATTCCTGAGCAACACAGGGACTAGCATGAGGCAAGTGAAGTGCTTTTCTTAGGCATGAAATGTAAGGGAGTGCAAGAAAACCTAAGTAATCAAGATAAATGACATCTCAATATGATATTTTTTAACCAAAATTAATCTTTTCTTAGGCATGAAATGTTAGGGAGTGCAAGAAAAACTCAGTAATCAAGATAAATGATGTCTCAATATGATATTTTTAACCAAAATTAATCCACAAAAAGCCATGATGAATCAAATATCAAATTTAACTAAAGCTAGGAATCAACAGGGCCAGGATTAGGGTGAGGTGAATGAGATGAGTTATATGAAATCTTGGTATCTGGTTCATCATGAATTTTTTGCATTAATTTTGATTACTTAAAAATACTGCATACAAATGTTGTTTATATTGATTACTGAGTTTTGTGGCACCTTCTTACATTCTGCATCAAAGGGGACTGCCTTACTTGTTTTGCCCTAGTCCTGGCCCTGTTTATGAGCCTTGTCTTGAAGGACAAATTCACCAGGAAAATGAGAAAGACATTTCAGGAAGAAAGTGCTACATGCACAAAGGCAAAGAAGCAGTACATAGTAGATCAAATATGGATTTAGATAGATCTTTCTAGCTTCACCTGGGGATGGGTTGAGGAAGTGGAGTACACACTAGAGTGAAGGGACAAGTTAGGAGGCTACTGAGATGAGGCCCTACAAGAGGAATGGTGCAGAAAGGACAGAGTTGAGAAAGATAGATGAGGCAAAATCTGTAGAAACTTGGTATCTAATCCAATACTAGAAGGAAGCAAAGATATAGAAGAATCAAAGATGATCTAGGTTTCTAGTTTAGATGACCCAGCAGGTCTGGGTAGTGTGGTAGATATGAGTTGTCTCCCAAAATCTACTCTCCTTTCTTGCAGCTAGATGTAGCCATGGAACTAAGTCTTTCAGAATGGAACATGAACAGAAATAATGGTTGAAACTTCCCAGTGTCTTGCTTAGAAGGAAATCACCTGTATTTCAGAATAGCCAAACGCCCTACTAAATGAGAAAACGTTGTCATTGGCCGCCTATAATCCCAACACTTTGGGAGGCCGAGGTGGGCAGATCACCTAAGGTCAGTAGTTTGAGACCAGCCTGGCCAACATAGCGAAACCCCATCTCTACTAAAAATACAAAAATTAGCCAGGCGTGGTGGTGTGCACCTGTGTAATCCCAGTTACTCGAGAGGCTGAGGCAGAATTGCTTGAACCCAGGAAACGGAGGTTGCAGTGAGCTGAGATCACGCCATTGCACTCCAGCCTGGGCGACAGAGCAAGACTCCATCTCAAAAAAAAAAAAAAAAAGAAAAAAGAAAGGTTGTCCTTGCAGAAGAATTCTAGCTAAGAAACATGGATGGAATGATGGAATCAGAAAATCACCACTTTGCGACCTTAAATGAAACAATTGATTCAGGTAATAGTCACCAATGGATGAAACCATTAGATGAAGGATTGACAGGAAACTACTAAGGAGAAATCGGACTGTCATGCCTGAACCCACTGATCAATCATAACATACCTATATTGGGACAACCAAACACTGTGTGCCTCCTCACATGACTCAGTATGACCTTTACAGAAACCTTCCTTTTACAGAGATAGAAGATTTAGAGGACTAAATTACAAAAGACAAATCCAAAACTTGGGAATTCTAAAGGAGAGCTGATCCCATTTATTTGACAAATTAATGGCAAAAAGCAAATAAATAAATAAATTAAATAAAAGGTATATGGACAGGAGTAGGGTACTCTAGAATAAAAGGGACTTAAGAAACATAACAATTAAATATAATGCATAGGCTTTGGAACCCAAGTTAAACAAATCAACTGTAAAATATAAGACAGTCTGGAAATGTGAACACAGATTATTAGATGTTATTAATGAATAAATGCTAATTTTGTTCAATGTAACAATAGCATCGTGGTTATATAGAAAAATATTCCTTTTATGAGATGCACATCGAAGTACAGGGGGGAAAAATGACAACGTCTGGAATGTGCCTTAAAATAATTCAGAAAAAGGGAATAAAAAAGCACGTCTAGCAAAATCTCAAGCTATCTTGGTGATGTGTACAAAGATGTTCAATGTACTATGTTATTTTCTACTCACTCATATGTTTGGAATTGCTTATCAAAAAAACTACATATTTAAAGATTTAAACTGTTAAAGATAAAAATGGAGGCGACAATTGAGATAAAGCCCAAGACCAGACACCCATCATCAGGGAACCGAAACTTAAGTCTTCCTATTTCTTCAGAACTGCTATCTCTAATCATAACAACAAAACATAAGCTTTATATCTTTGTCAGAATGCTTCAGTGAAATGAAACCAATAACTATAGACAATCACCTTAAACAGCTGTTTGCCTTTAAAAGAAGGATAATTTATAACAGTCGATCACAAAAAAGGTCAAAATGTTTCTGCCCTTCTGCTTTATAAACTGTACTGTAAGATAAGTTTGTTATCACTCGGTTTGAAGTATCCTGGATCAAGATCTGTACTTTCTCTTATTGCATACAATAAACTTTAAAACTTTTCCTGATTTTATTTTTGACAAATCAAAAGGAAACTGCTTTCCCTTTACCCTCTCCCCATGGGCTGGAATGAAGGTTTGATGGTGCTCCAACTTCAACTATACAGATTAAAATAATACCACAGGACAGGGGTCAACAAACATTTTCTATAAGGGTCCAGACAGTAAATATATTAGGCTTTGCAGGGCTTATAACTTCTGTTGTGACTACTCAGCTCTGCCACTGAAGCACAAAAGCTTTAAGACAATAAATAAACAAATGGAGTGGCTGCGTTCCAATAAAACTTTATTTACAACAGGGAGTGGGTCAGATTTGGCCCACAGACAGTAGTTTGCCAATCCCTGCCCTAGGAGATGGCAGTGCAACAAAAATGAAGAAAACTGGATCCTGGATGAATACATGAAGTAGTGCTGCCTTACCAGCATGAACTGCAGTCCTCTAGATGGTTACATGAGAGAGAAATAAACTTGTATATGGAGATGTTTTATTTTTGAGTTTCTTTGTGACAGTAGCTTAGCCTATAACCTAACTGGTACAGTGAGAGCTAAAGTATTAAGAATGAAAAAGGCAGTCGGGCACAGTGGCTCACGCCTGTAATCCCAGCACTTTGGGAGGCCAAGGCAGGCAGATCACGAGGTCAGGAGATCGAGACCATCCTGGCTAACATGGTGAAACCCTGTCTCTGCTAAAAATACAAAAAATTAGCCAGGCGTGGTAGCAGGCACCTGTAGTCCCAGCTACTTGGGAGGCTGGGGCAGGAGAATGGCATGAACCCAGGAGGCGCGGCTTGCAGTGAGCCCAGATTGCACCACCGCACTCCAGCCTGGGCGACAGAGTGAGACTCTATCTCAATAATAATAATAATAATAATAATAATAATATTTTTAAAAAGAATGAAAAAGGCCACCAGGGAAAGACTGAAGAGGAGAAAAGAGCTAAAGATGGAACCTTGGGTGGGAGAAGAAAAAGATTTAAAGTATATGCATAAAAAGGAAGCCCACAAATGAAACTAAGGAATAGGAAAACTAGAAGAATTTAAATAGTGTAGTAACAAAACCAAAAAAGAACTTCAAGTAGAAGTAATTAGTCAAAATAGGTTAAGTAAGATGAGAACTAAAATGTCCACTGGATTGGATAATGAGGACATTACTGATGACCCTGCGGAGAGTGATTTCAATCAAGTAGCAGGAGTGATTACAGCAGGTTATGGAGGAAATGTGAAATGTAAAGATTACTCTTGTAAAATCTGAATGAGAAGGTAAGGAAAGAGATAGCATGGTGTTTTGAAGTCAGAGGGTCAAGAAAATATTTTAGGATAGAGCGATTTGACCATAGTTATCATTTGAGAGCAGATAACCAGTAAAGAGGAAGACACTGAAGAGAAAGAGGACAAATGATAGAGAAAGGTCCCTGATGAAACAGAAGTGAATAAAAGTAGAGTAACCAGGTTTTTTTTAAACTTAAGCATGTATCAAAATCACTTGAAGGGCTTGTCAAACCAGACTGCTGGGCCCCATCCTACCCTTTCTGATACAGTAGGTGTGGGATGGGGCCTGATAATTTGCATTTCTAACAAGTTCCCAGGTAATACTGGTCTGGTCTGGAAAACCACTACAGTAAGACAAGATAAGGATGGGTATAGATGGAAGTTTACACATGTAGGGTAGAAAGGACACGAAATTGAGAGGTATAAGGCCAGGCCATAGGAGGTCGGGTTGTCTGCTGAGAGTAAGAGGAACAAGGAACTCTTCAATTAAATTATCTTCATAAATACTTGTTCTAAGTCAACAAAAATAAGCATGGGGAAAGGACTCCCTATTCAATAAATGGTGCTGGGATAGCTGACCAGCTATATGCAGAAGAATAAAACTGGGCCCCTACCTTTCACCATATACAAAAATTAACTCAAGACAGATTAAAGATTTAAATGTAAGACCTCAAATTATAAGAATCCTAAAAGAAAACCTAGGACACACCATTCTGGGCATTGGCCTTGGGAAAGAACGTATGACTAAGTCCTCAAAAGCAATTGCAACAAAACAAAAAATTGACAAGTGGGACCTGATTTAACTAAAAAGCTTCTTCACAACAACAACAAAAAAAACTATCAGCAGAGTAAACAGACAACCTACAGAATGGGAGAAAATATTCACAAACTATGCATCTGATGAAAATCTGGTATCCAGCATCTATAAGGAATTTAATTCAACAAGCAAAAACCACATAACACCATTAAAAAGTGGGCAAAAGAGATGAATGGACACTTCTCAAAAGAAGACATACAAGCAGCCAACAAACATGAAAAGATGCACAGTATCACTAATCATCAGAGAAATGTAAATCAAAACCACAACAAGATACCATCTCACACCAGTCAGCATGGTTGTTATTAAAAAGCAAAAACAACAGACGCTGGCGAGGCTGCAGAGAAAAGGGAATGCTTAGACACCATTGGTGGGAATGTAAATTAGTTCAGCCACTTTGGAAAGCAATTTGGAGACTTCTTAAGGAACTTAAAACAGAGTTACCATTCAACCCAGCAATCCCATTACTGGGTATATATCCAAAAGAAAATAAATAATTCTACCAAAAAGACACATACACTCCTATGTTCATCACAGCGCTATTCACAATAGCAAAGACATGGAATCAACCTAGGTGCCCACCAACGTTGGATTGGATAAAGAAAATGCGGTACACATACACCATGGAATACTATGCAGTCATAAAAGAGAACAAAATCATGTCCTTTGCAGCAACATGGATTGAGCTAGAGGCTATTATCCTAAATGAATTAGTGTAGGAACAGAAAATCAAATACAGCATGTTCTCATTTGTAAGTGGGAGCTAAATATTGCATACTCATGGACAAAGATGGCAACAATAGACATCAGGGAATAATAAGAGGGGGGAGAGAAGGAGGGGAAAAGCGTTGAAAAACTGTTGGGCACTGTGCTCACTATCTGGGTGATGGGATCATTCATATCCCAAACCTCAGCATCATACAATACACCCATGTAATAAACCTGCACATGTACTCCCTGAATCTAAACACTGAAAAAAAAAAAAAAAAACCTTGTTCTGTAAATCTAAAATGATATAAAAATTCTGTAAATTACTATCATTTTAGTCCAGAAAGACTGTCTCATATTTTTAATCCATCAACCACCAGTGGTTTATTTCATATGTGTTGTTTTTCAAGTCATTCTCTCAGTTCTCAAACCCCTCTCTGAACTGCAATAAACAGATCTCACCTTTGCTAACCTAGCCACTTGTGGTTTCACTAGTGGTCAAATTTTAAAAAGCATGTGTCCTCTTACTTTTTTCTCACAATCCCCTTAAAATAATTTTAAAATAATTTTTTAAAACTTTGGGTTCCCCTCACTTATTTTAATTCTATATTTAGTGTTTTTAACTAATCATAAGTTTAAACACGTTAACAAGTAGAAAATATTTACCATTTTTATGAAATAAGATGAAATTTTATATTAAAAGAAATGTTTCAGTCTGTGACTTGATAAAACCTTAAAGAAATCCAATTATACTCTTAATAAGTCAGCACCACCAACCTATACTGTTCTGGTTCTGAATTCAGAATATTCCAATACAGTCCAAAATATACCATTTTAAAGCCAAATCTAACCCTTAATAGAAATATTAATAAAACAGGAAAAGACAGAAGCATGACAGACTTAAGGTACCCAAATTAGTTATTAAAGTAAGCTTCTCCAAAAACTATATTTCAATTTACCCCTCTGTTTGGCATCCTAGATTATACCACAGGTCAACATACCATACCAAGATTTAGAATATGCAGGGACATGCCTTTCTTTTGTAAAACTGAGTAAGGGCTATTATGTACAGATTCATTCTTGGACCAATTTTAAGATGGAGTACAAATGGATGTGAGAGATCTGGAAATTGATTCCTATAAAACTGCATAGCCCTTGGAAAGAACCTACAGGGCCTTGCATACCCCAGTGTGAGGACCAGTGGATTAATGCATATCGTAATAAACTGACTGCCATTTATTGAGCATCTACTACACCAAGTACAATGATAGGCAGTATATATATGTGTGTATATATATATATATGTGTGTGTGTGTGTGTGTATATATATATATATAAAATCGCTAATCCTTTACAACTCTATATTATAAACACTGTATTATCTTTGTTTTTCAAATGATGAAATTGAGGCTTAATGCAGTTAACTGATTTGCCCAAGGTTCTACAGCTGGCAAGTGACACAGCGAGAATCTGAACCCAAATCTGACTCGAAGTTATGCTCCTTTCAAATCACACTGTGTCTCTCTTACCTTTAGAACATCGGTGGGATTGGCTATAGTGGAAGATATCACTCCTGACACTACCCCACAGATCATATTAATTAAAAGAGTTTCATCTGTGAAAAGGAAAAGAAAAAGAAAGGTCTGCTTGTATTAGGTACCAGTTTGAGAACACAGTACTGACCTACTGGAGAAAGGGAAACTTGGTTAGAGAGATGACTTTAGACATGAACCAAAATGCTTAGGAAAATAAAGAAACTCAAATATTTCTACATCTCAATTCAGTGCTAAAATATGTTAAAACTTGTAAAATATAAATCATTTCTAAAAACATCATTATTTCGGCCAGGCGCAGTGGCTCACACCTGTAATCCCAGCACTTTGGGAGGCCGAGGTGGGTGGATCACAAGGTCAGGAGTTCAAGACCATCCTGGCTAACACAGTGAAACCCCGTCTCTACTAAAAAATACAAAAAGTTAGCCAGGTGTGGTGGCGGGCTCCTGTCGTCCCAGCTACTTGGGAGGCTGAGGCAGGAGAATGGCGTGAATCCGGGAGGCGGAGCTTGCAGTGAGCCAAGATGGTGCCACTGAATTCTAGGCTGAGCAACAGAGCAAGACTCTGTCTCAAAAAAAAAAATCATTATTTCTAAAGGACACTGGCTGGAACACGTCCTTTTCTTCTTCATAACTATCAATATCCCACACACGAATTCAGAAGGTGGTATTTCCCCTTTGATCTTTTCAAACATCTAAAGAACATGCTTTTTAAGTATTTTTCTGGGTAATCGTCAACTCTAAAGATTCGGGAACTGAATGTTAAAAGAGAAAGTCTTCTGTCTAATACAAAAAACTTATCTGAATATTAATTTTGATAGGCCTGAGAGCTCTCCTAGCCTCTGTTAATTTACAAAAGATTTCTGTAGTCAAATATGAAAAAATAATCATTTAGAACTAAATCTCCTCAGCAAGAAAAAAGAACAAAGAAACCAAAGAGCACATTGTTCTATAGTGAAATTCAATCTTTACCGCTCCTTCACACCATGAAGACCCCACAAATAGAAACTAAATAAACCCAAGTGAAGAATCTATGAAAGAAAAGTATTTCAGAAAGAGGTGGAAGAGAACCCTTCACGATCCCCCAAAAAAGGCTTCAGAAAAAGTTGATTTTAGGACAATAAAGTGATTCAAAGGACATTACTAACCGAAAGGCTTTCCAGCTGTCCCCAAACATCCAACAGCCCCAGGCCTGTGGTAAAATAACCATTTAGTGTAGTATCATGATGGAAAATGCTACAGCAGCAAACAGACATATGATAATGCTGAATATTCGTAAGGTAGTCATAAGTACATCAGAATTTAGAAAGTAGCCTAAAATTATTCCACCTAATAAAAGCTTATCAAAATTGCCAGCTAGAAAATGCCTTACAGTTGAAGTCCTCTTATTGATGAAGATAGCATTAATTTTCTGGACAAGATTGTTCCATGTTTCTTTTGGGATGATCACGTGCCTTGTTTGTTGCTAGGAAAAGGGACAAAATTTGAAGAAAAGGTCTCTCTAACTCGTATATCACCTCTGCAAAGATTTATTCCAAGTTAGAACAAGCTCACTTTGTCTTTGCAGTGACTCTCCTGTATTCTCAGGCACCTCATGACCAACACTTCTCACTAAGCATGATTTCAACAATCCCTTTGAGTATCACCTCAAAAGAGGGTGAGTATACTGACCTTCTAAACGTTCTACAAATAAGCGCTTCAAGCTTTGGTAAATCCCAATTTTAATGGTGCCATATGATGCTTGTCTTAGCAATGCAGGAGCAATTCTGCAAAAAAAAAAAAAAAAAAAAAGTAAAAAAGTTATTCTCAACACGTATTTGCAGATTATACATATCTACACAGCCTACTTATTTGCACTACCCATCTCATTCCACCCAACAACAGCAGAATATGATTTTTCTTCAAGCACTCATGAAACACTCACCAAGAAACTCAACATTCTGGATCATAAAACCAACCTCAACACATTTTAAAGAACTGAAATCATATACAATATGTTATCTGAAGATAATGGAATCAAACCAGAAATCAATAAGAAAAATCCTCAAACATTTAGAAATTAAACAACATACTTCTAAACAATCTATTGGTCAGACCAAGTGTCTGTCAAAGGAAACTTTTTAAATTCACAGGTCTAAATGACAACAAAATTCAACCTACTAAAATTTATGAGATGCAGCCAAAGCAGTGCTGAGGGAAATTTATAGCATGAAAAGCTTAAATTAAAAAAAAAAGGGAGGGGGGAGTCTGAAATCAATAATCTATGCTCCTACCTCAAGAAACTAGAAAAAGAAGAGCAAAATAAACCCAAAGCAAGCAAAAGGAAGAAAATAATAAAAAGCACAAGTCAATGAAATTGAAAATAGGAAAATAGAGAAAAATCAATGAAACAAAAAGTTGGCTCTTTAAAAAAAACCAACAAAAGTAATAAACCTCTAGCAAGACTCACAAAGATAAAAAGAAGATGCAAATAAAAAATGAAACGGGGACTAGCACTACAATCCCTGTAGCCATTAAAAGGACAATAAGAGTATGGTATAAACAACTTTATACTCAAAAATTCAACACCTTAGAAGAAATGGACAAATTCCTTGAAAACCACAAGCTACCAAAACTCAACTAGATAAAACAGATAATCTGAATAACACTCATACCCACTTCAATGAACTGAATGTTTGTACCATCCCCAAATCAAGATCTTAAAATCCTAACCCACAATATGATGGTAATAGGAGGTGATTAGGTCATGAGGGTAAAGCCCTCATGAATAGGATTTGTGCCCTTATAAAAGGGATCCCAGAGAGCTCCCTCACTCTCTTTCTGCCATGTGAGGATACAATGAGAAGTCTTGGCAGTCTGCAACCCAGAAAAGGGACCTCAGCAGAACCTGACCATACTGGCGCCCTGATCTCAGATTTCCTGCCTCCAGAGCTGTGAGAAATAAATTCTGGTTGTTTACAAGTCACCCAGTCCATGGTATTTTGTTATAGCACCCCAAACTATGATAACCTTAAAGAATTTGCATTCTGAATTTAGATGCTCCCCAAAAAGAAATATTCAGCCCCAGATAATTTCACTGGGGAATTCTACAAAACATTTTAAAAATTAACACCAAGTTACACAGTTCCTTCCAGAAAACAGAAGAGGGAATGCTTCCCAACTTATTTTGCCTAGTATTACCCTGATACCAAAACCAGACAAAAACAGTACAAAAAAGGAAAACCACAGACTAATGTCTCTCATGAACTTAGATGCAAAACTCCGTAAGAAAATATTGGTAAATTGAATCCAGCAATGTATAAAAAAAATTATACATCATTACTCACCTGATAAAGATTTTTTTTAAAAAAATCAACCTCTACTTCCTAACAGTTGCAGATACGTCTTTAATCATATCAACAAGGAGGCACTAGAGCCAAACTTCCACCCTATTTAAGTTCTCCTTTAAACTGGAGACATTCTCATTCATACCTCCTTTGGGATTCTTCCAAATTGCAGAACTATACTGTAGGAGGTATAAATAGAAAGACGGCAGCAGCTCAAATGGTTAGGATTTTTAAATGATGACTAAATATGCATATTTTGACTTTATTCCTTGCTATCAGAAAAGAAAATATCTTGTGATTATACATGCTGATGAAAGAACAAGGTGAAACAGATGATCCACAAATCAGGATGGTGGATCATCTTCAGGATGCTTCAGGATATACTACTTGATTTTTCCCCCAAGAAAATTACCTTTTAAATTAAGTCTAACATAGTTTAACGATGTAACATAGTTTAACGATAACACTGATATCTATTCTCTGAGTAATAAACCGGTAGCCTAGACGCAGGAGTGGCCTAGGAAACTGGCAACAGATGAACGACAAACTAGACAGTAAACCACAAATGGCTAATCAAAAGGTGATGATAAAGATGGGTCTCCCTCTCTCTCATTATGCACTTTCTGTTTAAACTGCAAGGATAATATTTTTTCAAAAAGGATAATTTTAAAGGAAATCAGAATTTGCCAACTCAGGAAGGATATCACAAAAATATATATAATTAATTGGTGCTGTTTTTAACAGTGGCTATTATGACTCTCGGGAAATCCGCAGAAAGTCTATGCTGCAACGACATATCCATTTTAAAATGTTATTATCACTTATAGCCAAATGAACACAAAATCCAAAGCTCAAGACTTATAAGGAGGAGAAATATAAACTGGCATATCAATACTGAATTACAAGTTGAAATAGTGACTATGAAACAGACACAAACTATCAGACAGCTGAAAACTATGGCTTCTTTAAAAAGCATATCTGTTAATGATATAAGGAAAGAATCAGTCTTACCCTGAATAGAGAGCCAATACACCTTCCTCTTTACAGATGCGAAACAGTGCGTGGAACATCCCTCTATATTTTATCTCTTTGAAACGGGCATCAATGCTTTGGCCTTGAACCTGAAGTCGTGTTTTGGTAAGGTCCACAGGGAAAGTCCCTATAAAGGAACACACTCATTTATAAGTATGTCCAAAGAATCACAGTTAAGTTGTTGCTAAATATAAGCCAAGGACAATATTTGAATCCTAAGACAAAGTCCTTTTTAATAACACATAGAAGAGCTCTAGTAGAATACCACTGTCAGAGGACATGAGTTGCATGTGGTAAGTGAAATGCATTATACTATACATAGGCAGCACCAACTGACCCACAATATACTTCAAACTGTAATATGATAAAATGCTTTAAGATTCCCCTATTATAAATGCAAAATAATTAAATGTTGTTTTTTATTTCATCTGTAACGTTCAATCTGGCATTTATCAGTCTCCCTCCTGCCCCTTCCCACCCCAAGTGTCCCCACCGCTGTGTCTCATAAAATCTCCCCAAATTTTCACAAAGATAGGAAAGCATGGGATTGCTGCTCCAGATGCTCTTATATAGTGCTACAAAGTTTTGTGGGGTTTTTCTTTTATCTGTTTACAAGAAACAAATAGTCCCCTAATATTATGAAAGATAATGGCAAAGCCCTATTTGGTTCTCCTCATCCTGGTCCCTTAGGTAATTCAGGACTAATACCAGCAGAGTGTTTGGGGGGAAATTTTCTTTAACCAAACCTCTTACATCAACAAACAGAAGTGGTCATCACATTGACAAAATATATTTCAGGGTGTAAAACTAACAAGATGATTAGGTAGCTCTGGTCACTGATGACCCGAATATCACAACACCACAGGATATGCCAAGAACGTCAGTAGTCATTCATGAATAGTTTAGAAAAGAGAATATCTGGAAGATGAAAAAACAACAATCTAAAAATATTTCAAAATTAAAATCATGTAGAAGAGACTCTTGTTTGATCTTGTGAGTATATTTTCTTCTAAAATAGGACAGAGGTTTGAAAAAAAGGACTTTCAGTACAAATAAACTTATAAACAATTTAGCATAAAAGACTATTAATACAGAAATATAGCAAAAACCCTTAAGACATATCAACTCCCTCTATATATTCATGTATTTTACTTAAGCCTAGCAAATTAACAAATCACTAAACTACCAAAAAAGCTTTCCTTAGTTTGACTTTTCTTAACTCATCTGCCATAATATTAGTAGTACTTTCCCCGAAATATTACTTCATGGCTTTGAGACAATTTTCAAAATAACGTGAGCTTCTTATTTTTTATCTGGCTTTCACCAAAAATAACCATCACCATAAGCTACCATCTATACCATATAATGCAGATTTGTCCTTTCTCACATTCTTACCAAACTCAGCCACGATAGAGGCAAGGCCGCCATATACAAAGGGTTTCCAATTCAGACCAGACATCTCATGACTTACAGTGGTACTTTTCTGGTGCTAAAAATAAACACAAATCAGAACAAGGCACAAGAGTGAGGAGCATTTGTTAGCATCCGATCATATAATTTAGATAAACAAAATTGGCAAATAAAACAGAGGTAGAGGAAAAACCCCACCAAGTGGAATGACACAAAATAGGGGATCCTGTTTTATGTGCTGGATGATCATGAGTTTGTTCTTTACTGACATTTTGTAGGGGTAGGCGTGTGATTCACTCAGAGATCAACCTGTGCCCTTCATTCTCTTCAGTTTCTTTAATGTTATATTTGTCCCCTCCCAGAGAAGAGGCTTCAGTCCATCCAGCACACCCAACTTTGACATTCAACTAGATAACTACAAATGAAGGAACCCGGAATTCAAATTATGTAGGCTGAGGCATCTCATAAAAGCAGTTTATGGTATTCAGTTAGCTTGATTCAGGTACAAAGCACAGGCTTACACTACTACCCTCTCATATTCTTAGCCCTCCTATCTCTCCACTATAGGGTTTCTAGCTATATATATAACTTTGTCCCCCCAGCCAGGCCCAGGCTGAGCTAAGAACCTTTACACCTTCCTTCTAGCCCCCAAAGGAAAGATAGCAATATGATGTCTCTCTTCCCTCTGACATTTAACGTACATCCATCTAGTGGATCTCGTTTGCCTTCCTCTTGGCCTTTTAAAACACACACATACAAATACTGTTCTTCTTTTATGTTCTAGTTATTTAACGATGTATTCTGCTCCCAGCCTCCCTTTTCTCCTTCCCTATCCCACCCCCGTTAGACCTGTCATCGTCAATCTTTTCAGCTTTACTCTCTTTTTATGCCACTTTCAGCTTGTTCTCTCTTGGATTTTATGTTTTTCCACAGCTCTGGCCTCTAGGTTTTGCAAATTTTAGCATGTATTAGAATCACCCAGAAGGCCTATTAAAACATAGATTGTTGGGCCTCTCCCCCAGAGTTTCTGATTGGTGGTGTGGCCCTGAGAATTTGCAAGATCCCAAATAACGCTGATGCTTCCACACTTAAGAACTGCTCTAGGCATTGCCTACTAAATCCTGGTTCACCTGAAAGTAGTATCTGTTCTTAGCATGGACTCTCAGATTTCTTTCAAATATTCCTTTTTCAGAGCTTCATAGTATGTATACTTCTGAATTTCAAAAGCAACTTCCAAGTGGTTTATGGTCAGGAATGTAGACTCCTGAAGTCAGACTGTTAAAATTTAAATGCTAACTCCAGATTCATTTCCTGACTCCACCACTTACTAGTTCTGTGACCTTGGGCAAGTTATTTAATCTCTCTATGTCTCCACTTTCTGAACTGTAAAATGGAACTAATAATAAAAACTATATCATAGGGTTGTTGTGAAAATTAAATATCAAAAACACCTTGAAAAGTGCCTGGCACGCAGTTCGATAATTGTTAGTTAACTATCATTATTACATTTTAAAAAATTTAAGTACCCAAATTTACATCTTAACAGATATTACTTGCTGCCCACCCTTCCCTCTCATTGCCCAATCTGGGGTTAGCAGCTATGAGTCACAGTATCCCTTTAAACGTTTTGCTTTGCTTCCACATAAGGAATTCTCTGTAACTAAGCAAAATACAATTTTCCAGAGAAGATAGCAAACATGCTGATTAAATGTTCTAGTTACAGGCCACAAAAATCATTATGGAGTCTTCCTTTCAAGCATAGTACATATAGAGTCTGGGATAGATAACCCTTTTGGGGGAAAGTTGTTGAAAAGAATTCTAATGAGCAAAGCAGGAATAGCCACTTCAAATATCAATTGCAGCTGGAAATAGGAGTCTTGAAGACTAAATACTACCTTATCACCATTTCTAGCTATGCCCGCATTTTCCGATTAGAATTGATAGTAAAATATGACACATATAGTGAGAGTAGAGATGGAAAAGCAAGACCATGGCATATCCCCTCTTTGAGTTTGTGAGGAAAAAATTAACTCTCCATTCACAAATTTAGAGATTGCCCCAAATAGTCTTAAAGGTTTCAGACAGCTACTTTTACATAAAGTTGTCTCTCCAAAGCTTTCTCTTTACAACTTTTGTCAATTCTTTGTATTACAGAGAAAGCCTCTATCGGAACTTTACAACCTGCTACCAGCCCCTTAATAAAGAAAATGTGCTCAGCGTTCAGGGAGCGATGATGAATCAGTGAAAGGCAGGGAGCAGGGAGGACATGGCAGGAAGATGAAAGACCAGTCGCTGAATCTTACGACAGCCCAGCGGTTCCCTAGTGAAGTTCCCACAATTCTAAGGTGAAATGAAAAAAATAAGGGCATTTAGTGCTTTTTTTTTTTCAGCTAAATGTATTTAATTTAGGGACTGTCTATTATTAACAGATCACATTCTTCTTATGCCTGGAGCATAGGCTAACTAGCCTGTATTTGTGTACGCTCCCCACACTTTCATTTACATTTTACTGGCCCATGAAATCCAAAAATCTGGGGACCACAGGCAAAACCCACCATTGCCACAATCACTACTTCCCTACCCCCATCTGATAGTAAAATCTCTTTCACTCCAATGTTAGGAAAAAATCTTATGAAGAAATCCTGGATCATCTTTGATTAGATCTGTTTTTAGACACTCCCTCCTCATATTGAGCCAAAAGTCTGTCTTCCTCTAATTCGTACCCAGTCTTTGGACAAATGCATTCTTTTTTCCCTAGGCAAGCCCTTCAAATATTTAAAGACAGCTATGATGTTCTCTTACACCTTATGTTTCTCAAGCTAAATATCCATGATCTTTCTCTTCATTCGACACATTATACTTCAATTACTAGAGCTTAAACTTGCATTCACTTTTTTGGGAGCCACATCACACTATCAAATCATTAAACTGTCAGCTGAAACCTCCAAGTCTTTTACATAAAGTTGTCTACATGCATGCATGTTGTGTCACACCTATTCTACAGGTGTGCAATATTTTTTGAACCTTCTTTTATCCCTTCTATATCTTAATCTCAGGCATAAAAATAATGACTAGGATGAGGGTCAACTTCAAGATGTCCAATGTTATTTCCTCTCTTAACTAAGTAAGATCCCCGAGGGAAGATACTATATCTCATAGTACTTTTTTTAACCCCCATTATAGCTTGCATAGAATTGAGTACACATCCATTCAATACTTAGTTCGTTTTGCAGTGTGATGTCCTTTACCTGTGTATGCAGCCTGTATATAAAACATTGCAGGGGAAACCAGGAAGGTAACTTGCTGGACCTGACCAATGCTACACACCCTGTGTATGACACTATCTTGATCCCCAGATATTCTCTGCCTATGAACCCTGTTCCCTTGCTTTTGTTGCAAGGAATTACTTATGTAAAATACCCCCAAGCCCTCTAAAAATTATTTTAACTTGTAGGGGCTAACCCCAGATATGGGTAAAAGTAGTCATATCTAAGGTAAAATAAAAATATAGTACCCTAAATATTTTTACTGTATAAAGAAACCAATGAAAATTGTCTTCAAAATGCCAACATTTATTCTGAAGATCTGACTTCGGAGAATTTGATAGACTAATGAGTGAAAGTAAGAATGTCCTACAATACAAGTTACATTGCCCTATACTACTCCCAAGATCTGGTCGGGAAACTCTGGGTGCCTTTCCTGCTTTCTCCTTTAAGAAAGACTAGAAATTAGAGATTCTCAGATCCAGAAGGTAACAATGGAGAGCCAAGCAGATATTTATCGAAGGCGTGCTAAATGCCCAAACCTGCAATGCACTTTGGGTATAATCATGTTTGAAAAACACAGATATTCGTTCTAGAACCAAAACAATATTTACCATTCAACCTATCTTTCCTGAACAACCAATGAGATGGGACAGGGGAAAAAGTACAAAATACAGTACTTGCCTTTCAAGAGCTTATAATCTGGTGGAAGAAATCAAAGTAGTTCACTAGAGAAAAATTAAGTGCTAAACTGTGTAGTACAAACTTTAAGAGCAAGAGGAGCATAGAAAAGACTACAACCAGCATGGGCTTGACTAATTTGAAAATTGCGGAGGTGAGAGAACCTAAACTGAACCTTGAGAGATGGTAGGTACAACCTGGTTAGGTGCAGGTAAGGGAGAGGGGCAGGGAAGAGACAGAATGAACAGAAACACAAATGTGAGAACAAGCACAGCATGTAGAAGCAGGCATCAGTATGGTTTGTGCTAAGAAGAAAGGAACCTAACTGGAACAGAGAATTCCCTTGTTGACTGAAACAGTATCAGACAAGAAGTGTGATAAGGAGCATGTTATGTTGAAAGGCTTGAAACCAAGGGGTGGGGGTGGGGGGCGTAAGAGGGGGCTGCATGTTTTGCTTGTGTGTGTGCGTTTAACAGAGAAGTGACTTGAGGAAATCCACATTTTAGCCTATTAGGGCTGCAGCAAACACAGTGGATTACATTACAAACGGGAGAGGCAGGGAGACTAGCTTAGGATGGTGCAAAGTACAGCAGACAAAGATGCTTGTTGGCACTGAGGTTAGAGATAGACTTCCCCAATGAAGACACAAAGAACTCGATGATGTAGGGAATGAAGACGAGGGAAGAGTTCATGATAACATTAAGCATCTCTAGCCTGGGGGGGGAAACAACAACAACAAGGAATCACTGACAGGAAACTATAAATGTCCCTGCTGTTATCTTGTCTGAGAAACTAATTCATGTTGATAACAGCTGTCATGCCAATCAAGTAACTGAACTGCATTTTAATAGATGCCTTCAATGCCTTGACCTCAGGAGTGACAGGGGGTAGAAACCGAAGGGGAGCATCTTTCAACAGCATCCCTCACACTAATACAATGGAGGTGTTTGCTTACTCCGCTTACAATCACGGCCGCCGTTGCAAACTTCACCCTTAGAAAAATTAGGATTATTCCGGGAAAGATACCCATTCACCCTCTGGGTAGCAGGATCTTGCCAGTTCCTCAGCTGTCAGAGCGAGCTCGTGGAGAGAAGGGAGGCGCCTGAAGGAGGCGGCCTCCCAGGGGGGTCGAGGAAGCAGGGTTCAATCGAAGAAGTAAAACCACCGATGCCAGAAGAGTGAAAGACAGGGAAGGGACTCAGCTGAGGGGAGAGAGAGACCAGAGGACCGTTAAGCCCTTCCCAGGCCGGGAACCAGGCCAGCCCGGCCCCACGCGGCCTGGCGCGGCCCAGCCCCGCTCCCCAGCCTGGAAGTCCAGGAGCTCCCCCTCACCTGCTCGGGCTCATCGGACGACTGGGAAGCTGAGGCTCCCACAGTCGGAAACGCCACTGCAGCGCCAACCCGGAAGCATTGAAATCAACGGAAGTAACCAAGGCGTTGCTTCGGCAACGGCGGCGCAACCATTTCAACTCCGCCCCTTCCCAACCTGAAAACAAAGGCGCGAAATAAAAGGCGGAAGCGGCAGGGGTCTAAAGGCGAGGGTCAGAACCATTGTGGGCGCAGAGGCCTAGAGGGGCAACTGGACTTGCGGGAGGTGGAGGCAGGGCACCTAAGGCGTGAGAATTTGGCAGCTTCCCCAGTTAACGTGCTCGCCGGAGAGGAAACAGGTGTCGCCTCGTCACCGCCAAGCCCACCCACCTAGCGCGTGGAAGGACTAGAAAAGGAAGGGGCCTCTCCCCGGTATCAGGGCTTGCGGAGTTGGGCAAGGGGAGTGGTGGGCGTGGTGCCCTGCGAGCGCAGTAGGAAAAAGGCGGCAACGTGGAGCGGCTGGGGCAAAGGCTTCAAAACAAAAGTAGGAAAATGAGACATATGGGTGAGCCGAATTTAGTGAGGTGCCTGGGCTCAATAAGAAAATAAAGGTCAAGGCCAGGCGCGGTGGCTCACGCCTGTAATCCCAACACTTTGAGGGTCCGGGCGCATCACTTGATGCCAGGAGTTTGAGACCAGCCTCACCAACATGATGAAATCCCGTCTCTACTAAAAATGCAAAAAAATTAGCTGGGTGTGGTGGCACGCACCTGTGGTCCCAGCTACTCGGGAGGCTGAGGCAGGAGAATCACTTGAACCCCGGAGGTGGAGGTTGCAGTGAGCTGAGATCATGCCACTGCACTCTAGCCTGGGTGACAGAGCAAGACTCCATCAAAGAAAGGAGAGAAAGAGAGAGAAAGGAAGGGGGGGAGAGAGAGAGAGAGAGAGAAAGGGAGGGAGAGGAAGGAGGGAGGGAGAGGAGGGAGGGAGAGGAAGGGAGGGAGAATGAACGCGAAAGCACCTACTGGACGTCAGACATTAACAAGTGAAAAGTTACGGTCAGGCCCCTTACTTGAAGCTCTTGCTTTAATCAGAAACTTCACTTAAGAAAGAGCAAGTTGGATACCAAAAAGGGGACCATAAAAAGCTAAACGGATAAGGCAGAAAAACACCAACAGGGGAAATCCCAGTTAATCCAAACCTCATAATCTGCCAGCAGATGACAAAAGTCCAACCCCCAGCTTCCGACTCTGGCCCCTATGGCTGCTGGAAGGGGACACCGCAAAGCCCCCTGGGTGATTCAGTTAGCCAACGGGCTATGACGTCCGATTTTTGAGCCCCTTAACAACGTTCCCTAATCACGTGAGAGTACGCAATAATAGGGTTTATTGCTTCTGTGCTATAAGGAAAAGTCAGTGCAAGGCATTTGGCCCTATATGGTTATTTGTTGAATGAATAAATATTTGGAGCTGTGTTCTTCCAAAAGGATATTTCTCATTTTAGTTCACCTTGTTTTATTTTGCTGCGTTTTTTTTGTTTGTTTGTTTCTTTTTGGACAGAGTGGCACTCTGTGGTCCAGGCTGGAGTGCAGTGGTGCGATCTCGGCTCACTGCAACCTCCGCCTCCCAGGTTCAAGCGATTCTCCTGCCTCAGCCTCCTGAGTAGCTGAGATGACAGGTGCCTGCTACCACACCCAGCTAAATTTTGTATTTTTAGTAGAGATGGGGTTTCGCCATGTTGGCCATGCTGATCGCAAACTCCTGGCCTCAGGTGATCCACCCGCCTTGGTCCCTCAAAGTGCTGGGATTACAGGCGTGAGCCACCGAGCCCGGCCTATGTTTCTGTTTGTTTTGTTTTCCATTTAAAAATTTCTTCAGGCAGCACACATGATCATAATATTAGCTGACATTGTGGAGTACCTACCATGTACCAAGGGTGGTGCCAAGAGCTTTTTGTGTTCCTAACTACCAGATAAGACAGGTACTATTATTTTCCCCCTTTGACGGTTGAGAACACTGAGGCCATAAAAGGTTAGGAGAGTAATTTAGTAAATGACAGAGCTGGAATTGCTCTTAAGCACTATGCTATATTGCTCTCATCTATACTATAGTTGGGAAGCCGAGGCAGGAACATCGCTTGAGCCCAGGAGGTCGAGACCAGCCTGGGCAATATAAGGAAACACCCGCCTCTACCAAAAATTTAAAAATTTAAAAATTAGCCATGACTGTAATCCCAGTTACTCCGGAGGATGAAGAGAATCACTTGAGACTGCAGTGAGCCGTGATTGTGCTGTGCCCAGCCTCACAAATTTTTTTCTTGGTGGGGTGCGGTAGCTCACGCCTGTAATTCCAGCACTTTGGGAGGCTGAGACGCGGTGGATCACACTGAGGTCATGAGTTTGAGAACCAGCCTGGCCAACATGGTAAAACCCCGTCTCTACTAAATATTAAGAAATTAGCCCAGGCGTGGTGGCACATGCTACTGATCCCAGCTACTCGGGGAAGCTGGAGGCAGGAGAATCACTTGAACCTGGGAGGCAAGGTTGCAGTGAGCGAGACTGAGCCGTTGCACTCCAGCCTAGGCAACAAGTGCGAAACTCTGTCTCAGAAAAAAAAAAAAAGTATATATAATATATATATTTTTTATTTTTTAATAAAAAATTTAAAAACATACCACATACCCACACTGTGGTTACATTGTAGCACATTTAACCTGCTTACTTATGGTTTTTCCACACATTCTCTAAACTATAACATAAAAAATATAATCCTTATTATCAAAGTTGGTCATATTCCTTATAAATTGCCTCCTATTTGTAGTCTCTACCATAAAGACCAGTATTTGACTATACTGTCTCTTATGTTATGCTTGAATTCTGATCTGTCCAAGAGATAAGCTATTCAAGAGTATAGAATCATGTAATCTAATGGTTGGAGGGAAACTTAGAGGTCCCTTCTATAGTAGTCATTATAGACAGCTGTCCAGTCTCTGCTGGAATACTTCTAGGGTAAGCATACAACATAAGTCAGCCCATTACATTATTGGATAACTCTTAGAAAGGTCCTACATATATTAACCACAGTGCACTTTCCATTTTCTACTCTCCCCAGAGAAACAGCTGGTCTTAAAGAATGAAAAGAGCACTGTAGTTGAAGCTAGAAAACCGTTTTTTATTAATTGAGGCGAAGTTCACATGATGTTAAATTAGCCATTTAAAGTGAACAATTTAGTGGTGTTTAATACATTGACACTATTGTGCAACCATTTTCATCACCTAACATTTTCAAACCCCACATCCATTAAGCACTTGCTCGCCATTCCTCCCTCCCCAGATCCCCTGGCAACCACCAATCTGCTTTCTTTTTCTATGAACTTACCTATTCAGAAAATTTCATATTAATGGAATCATACAATATGTGACCTTTTGCATCTGGCTTTTTCACTTAACATAAGTTTTTGAGGTTCATTCAAGTTGTAGTGTCAGTACTTCATTCCTTTTTATAGCTAAGTAATATTCCACTCTATGTATACACTACAATTTTGTATCTATTCACTCACTGGTAAATATTTGAGATGTTTCCAACTTTTGGATATTGTGAATAATGCTGCTATAAATATGTGTGTAAAAGTATTTGAGTATCAGTGTTCAATTCTTTGGGGTATATGCCTAGGAGTGAAATTGCCAGAAGATCTTCTTGAGGTCAGACTCTGTCATTTTCTATCTCTGGTGACTCTGGGTAAATTACTTAATTTTTCTGAGCTTCAGTTTCCTTATCCAAAGATTAAATATTCTAATACTCCTAGCACAGAGTCAGGCACTTAGTACATGCTTAACAAGTGTTAATTGCCTTTCTTTCTTTGTTCTCCCCTTAATAGTCCTCTGATGTATCAGCAACCCCAGCAGTGTTTTCTTCCACAAGCTTAACATCCCCTCAATCAGTTTTCATAAGGCATGCTTTCCAGACCTCCCACCATATTAATTATCCTACTCCTGGAAGATGTCAGGAGAGAAAAACTTTTCCTCTAACCTCTTAGGGTCAGTGCCTGCAGGCTGTAAATTAAACTAAAAACAGATGAACAGGAGAAAAGGCACGCACTTTTTATGAATATTTATGTGCACAGTTCACAGAAAAGAAGTGAAACTCAAAGTGGATAGACTCAGAGGCTTATATACCTTTTTAACAAAGCAAAGGGGGTTTTGGCTTCTAGAGATGATAAATTTTGGAGAAGTAACTAGGAAATATATGAGAGAAGAATAGAAGATAAGGCCTAATGGAAGATAAGGGCTATTTTAGTAAGGTCTGTTTATGCCAGTTCATTTTGGCTTCATCTTCCCATCTCCAATGACAAGTAAGAGTTGCTCTTTTCTCCCTAGTATAGGGGGACACCTTCCTCAAAGGGAAATTTATGTCCTGCTTTTAGACTGATAAAGAGAGGACAGAGAACTCTTCCTGCCCCTGTAGATGCACAATTATGTTTAGCTCAAAATAATCCTTATGCCAAAGTGACATATATTGGGGTGGCATATTCTGATCCCCTTCAAAGACAAATAAAGGTAAATTCATAAATAGTTAGCATTGCCTATTTGGTGGGGAAGGAGAGCATCTGTTAGATGTTAGGGATTGGCTACACCTAAGATGTGTTTTTTGAATTTAAAATTGGGAAAATTTTTGTTTTCATTAGAAGTCACCATTAAGGGCCGGGTGCGGTGGCTCATGCCTGTAATCCCAGCACTTTGGGAGGCCGAGGCAGGTAGAGCATGAGGTCAGGAGTTCGAGACCATCCTGGCTAACACGGTGAAACTCCATCTCTACTAAAAATACAAAAAATTAGCCGGGCGTGGTGGCACGCGCCTGTAGTCCCAGCTACTCAGGAGGCTGCGTCAGGAAGGAGAATCGCTTGAACCCAGGAGACAGAGGTTGCATTGAGCTGAGATTGTGCCACTGCACTCCAGCCTGGGCGACAAGAGTGAGACTCCGTTCCCCGTCCCCCAAAAAAGAAGTCACCATTAAGAAGAGTGAAAAGGCAAGCCCCACAATGGTAGATTTTTAATCCATGTATCCTACAAAATTAAAATCACAATACACACCCACTAGCGTGGCCAAAGT